TCTTAAATACCTAAGATGATATGTGGGAAGAAGAAGTTAGAGATCCTTCTCAAGGACCCCAAATACCACCAGGCCCCGGGCAGCAGATGAAAGTAAAGTCTCTTCTAGATCAAAGAACCAGAGCGGAAACCCAATATTAGATCGCGATAACTTTCCCCTAGCTATGGAATAATTGGCGGTTAAAAGCCGCGAGCGGTATGGCGCTTCGCTCCTCTGAATACGGATGCTGCAGAACATAATGAGAGTGCCGTCTCCAGATTTGTTCTCTGTCAAGTGTGATACATTCTTTAATGTGTTCAAAAGAAGCATTGACTAATTGTTCTTTGTGCTTGGCCCTGTCCTTCCATGGAAGCGTTGGTGAATTTTACCAGGAATCGCACGAACAATACATGGAAATCGGAAATCGCGCCGACCCTTTCACATTCCAAGGCTTAGTTAATTGACACCGGTGCAGGGCTGCTTCCAAGATTAATTTGCGACAAAAATATCATGTCACTATTCCGGAACGCTCCCACGATGTGCAGCCAAGGCCGCAGTCTCCCATATACTGCAGGAAAGTTTGAAAAAAAAAAAAATGTCGGTTCATGGACGACAGCAGATTACCACAAGCAAAGGCATCCATTTGTAAGTTGGAAAACCCGAGAGCTGATTACTGCCAAACTCCACATGCTCTGAAAATGAAACCTTTAGTACACAAAAGACATGGCTGCCGCATGATACAGCTATTCAGACGAGTATGCCAAGTGGGAGAGGCCTTGTAGGCCGGAAATCAAGTGACTAGTCCGTGAGTTTGATGCTAAAATGCGAAATATGGTTCCGCCATATTTCGTGGAAATTGTTACAATGTGTCTCAAGATTCCCAGACCCAGATACGCAATCGGCTGAACTAATCCTGGGTGAACGTCCAGTAATCCGATATAGTCGTCCTTCCGTTATCCCAGAGCGGCTCGAAGCTATTAAACGAATCGATCGTGAAGGCCATGCCCAGGGAACCCGCGATGGCATCCTGCATTGCCTGGTCATCGATCTGGGGAACAGCACCACTGTTATCGTTATCGGTTTGGCCACTATAATCATAATTCTGCAAGGCATTAATGTTCTGGGAGAAATATGAAGGATGGACGGACGACAAGGTGTTGCTCTGGAAGCTATTGATGAGAAAATCCGCCTTCGTGGTGAGGTCCCGAGTCACGTTTGCAGCGCTGGCGGCGATGGCGAAGTTGTTGCCGAACATTTCGAACACAGCGATGGCGCTGTCGATGGCGTTTCGCGCCGGTGCAGTAGAAGTGGAGGTGGGATAAGCCAGAATAAATCCAATCATGGAAAGTGTGGCATTCCACTGCCATTGATATGCTTCATGCCAGCCGTTCAAAATGTCCGTCTGGTGGAGGATTTGATACATGATATGAGTAATTGCCATAGCATGGTTGACGCAGGAAGTCGCATTTTTTTCAGCTTTAGGGCTGAAAATTGGAGAAAAGCAGATAAAGGGTCGGTAAAGGTTCATTGACAGATTGTGGTAGAGCAATTCCAGGAGCAGCTGCTGCCGCTTCAGCCATGGGGGTGAAAATCGCTCAACCTCTAGTGTAGTTCTATCAGTAGAGAAACGTACTCCTGTCCCATGTCTCTTCATTTTCAATGCACTAGGCACGCTTAATGGCCATTCGTGAAGAGCTTGTATACTCGACGAGAGGAACTGCGCAGCTGTTTCCAGACCTTGAGGGTCATTGTATAAGCTCTTCCCATCATTTGCACCAAGAATTTCTGCGCATTTGTCATAAAATGCAGTATAGATGCTGCGAGCCGTTAGCAATAGTTTAATGTGGTTCACACCGAAGGTGAGCCATGTGATATTTTCGCCAAAGGAGCCAAAATTGGAACCTGAATGTAACGCCAGTTCGTGGTCATCCGATGGGAAGCTGACGGTGACATGGGATAGCTGTGCAGAAAATGGCCGCCCGAGTTTCATGCAGGTTTTGCTGTCCGTGGCATATAGAATCCACCATAACCGTTTCCGCAACTCCCTTTGGGCCCGTGGTAAATATTCCGGTGGCTCCGTATGGAGTCCTAAAATATGAGCTGTCCTCACTGCTAACGCTAGCGTGCTATGAGCCATGTTCTGGAATGACGCATTGCAAAGGAATATGAGGGAGAAGACATGGCACTGAAGGGTTGATATCGATGGGCTTTCGAGCTCAGTTGCCAGCAAGGCTTGAGACCGCCGATAAAACCAACGCCCCGCGATGGTTGCATCATTACTATCGACATCTGCCTTAGATACACCGTTTGTGTCTCGCCGGGGTAGAAACGCGACGCCATATTGCATTGATAAAGCCAGGACGATGTCAACGAGGGCTGATGGTTTACGAGTTTTATGCGGAGGTTCCCATAACGATCTATAATGTTCTCTAAACTCTCCTTCGTTCAGAATTTGGAGGGTGCAATGGTATGATTGCCAAAATAAGCTTAGAAAGTAGTCTTCCTGAGTCCCAGTCAGGTAGTCACCATCTCTCGGTATATCAGCCGACACAAGATTCTCTTCAATGGTTTCATTTTTTGAGCTTGTAGGGCTCGCGAACGACCTGCTGGCTGAATTAGGTTGGAAATGGTGATCCAAATGCGGCTGTTGCAGAGCTGTGGCCAGGTACGAGTTCAGGCGGCCAATGAAATAGAACAGAGACGAAGGACCGTAGAATTGTGTTTGATGAGACTTTGCTGTCCTTGTCTGAATGCCCTCCCAATACCTCTTCGTAGGTTGGCCTTGATCCGGAGAGTCGGGCTTCAAATGTGGAGATGGCTTCGACAACTGAGATGGACTCGGAGGATGTGCAGTCTCTTCGCACACGGGACACTGGACATCGTCAAGTTGCCGTTCTAGAATCTTGATTCGACGCTTCAACTTGTCAATTTCTCTAGCAGGCTGTCAGCTAGTGCACACCCACATAACATGACGCCCCGTGCTCAGCAATAAAACAGCAGCATGACCAACCTGAGGGCATGAGGCAGAGTTCTCACGTCGCTCTCACCATTGCTGGTACACTTTCCGTCCCTACTTCTGCAGTTCGCACAAGGGCGATCATTGTCACATCTGATTCGGTGTCCACGGCACCAGTCACAGGCTCTGGCAACCTGGGTTCGTTTTGGCCGCCCTAGGGCGGTGGATGTAAACGGGGACTGCTGATGCAGGCTGGTCTCCGCGGTCGACCGAGTTGGGTCCGTCGAAGTTATCGGCATTATTGTTCATTCGGGTAAAAAGGTTTCCATTCTTATTATTGATTTTATCATGCATGCTCCTCGGGAGCTGTCTGTGTGTTCCTTGAATTGCTGCTTGTCAATTTAGCGCAAGGGCACCCCTGGCTCTGCTCGGCTTTTCATGCATCGTATCCATTCTCATTGGACTGCGTATGTAGTTAACTACGGTATAGTTACAACTCATACCATAGTTGTGAGTCTCAGGGCCTTTTTTTTTTTTTTTTTTTTTTTTTTTTGACACATCGCAATGGAGTTCTTGTCGACGAAACCTAATTGATCGGAGTACTACGAGGATCAAGGCGAGTTGGATGAACAAGTTGAACAAGCTGCATGATGTTTGTCCAATGATCGACTGAATAAGTAAAAATGCCATATTTATTTGACGCTCTGATCTCCTTTCGTCCCGAGTTGCCACTGCCAGTTGCCATTGGTTAAATGTCAACAGGATTCCGCAGACGGGCCCGTCCACTTGAGCATGGGGAATATCATACAAGCATTAACCCGTTGAGAGATGTAGAATTCTTTGCAGAGCGATCTCTTTACGCATATTGAATGTGGGAGACAGCAATGTAGTTACACTCAGTACATTTATCTGATTCTTCAATCTGGATATAATCATGTACTAGGCATGTAATCACACTACAGGAATTTCCCAGCTTCAAAGTGATTGACTCTTCTTCTATGATTTCAAGATGTCAAACTAGGTCAGTCCCAGGGAAAATAAGAATGCAAAATTTCTGTTTTTCTCTGTGAGAATTAGTTATGCAGTTCTGAATTGATTGGCTCAAGAAAATATCACGAAACTGGACAAAATGCCGTTGCGATGTTGACTTGACTAAAATTCTTTGCGTTCACGGCTATATAAGTTCAGGAAATATAATGACTACGGAAATGAATGTACTTCATGCTATAGCCTGGGTTAATAGGACGATTCCAAAGGGACGCCCCGACGAGTGGCCATAAGAAATGTTTATGGACGGGTGAGAGTTCGCGTTCCGCCGTCCCTTGCCCGGACGCCTTTTCCGCCCATGCTTCCCACCCGACGCCAAGAAACCCGCTCCGCAGGGACCGGGGGTGGGGCGGGGCGGGACGTGCCGTTCCGCTTTCCTGGATAATCTCTTGTTTTGGCACGCAACAACCATCATCCCGGCTACTTCTATGCATGCACAGCAGAGGGCACAGGAGACAGGGGCATCTATCATATCGCAACAAAGATGATTAAATATAGCTAATGCTCAGAACGGTGCTAAATACAGAAAAGGGGACAGGAGAGAAGAATGACATCATCAAATGTCTCATTCAATCAGCAGCGGAGCTTTGAATGATGGTTAATCTTAAACCACCAATAAAGGAAGAGGGTAGTTTCTCATGAATTTCTCTTATCTCATATATTATTAGCTATAATATCTACAGAATCAAACGTCCGCTCTTACACAGTTCGTTTCATTCCATATGCAGTAAAACAGAAGAGGAGAAAGAAGAGGAGAAAGGAGAAAAGAGAAAAAGAAGAAAAAGGCACACCCATCAATCCAACCATCCATAAAAAACACCACTTTTTCTTCAAAAAGAAAAAAGGAAAGCAGAAGAACAAACTTGTATAAACCTGAACCACATTTGACTTCGAACTCGAAGGTGGCGGCATGGCTGCTGTGTAGAGCAGAAGAAAATTAAGAAACATAACAATTCATTCTCAACATGTCACAGAATGTTCAAATCATTCAATCATTACATACCTTTTCCTCATTCCCTCAGAAAAGAAGCTGCAGTTGCGGATACTGAACTGAATACATAGGAATACTCTTTTTCTTCCAGTACTCAAACGGTTCCTGCAACGCCTTGGCCGCGACCTCATCCCCTTCACGGATAAACGCCTTGCGCAGCCCCAAAAACAAAGCTTCAAACTCATCCTCGTCGTCCGTCCAACTATCTCCCAAAGAGTAGAGAAATCGCTGCAACTTGCGGCCATCCAGGACTATCTCAGCCATATCATCCCTGCCACGACGGCGGTAGATCTCTGCGAACTCAAGCTCAGCGGGGGACAAAGTGTTGTCGCCATTGACAAACGCGGTGGTGGGCCAGAGCATAGACGGGGAGCTAAAAGCGTATTCCTTTGGTTTGACCGAGGACGAAGCCCAGCCCATAATGGCAGTAATGTTTCCGTCGTCGTCAACCAGGATGTGGTCGTCCCTTTCGCAGAAGCGTTTCAGGTAGAAGGGCCCCCCTTCCTTGCTGTTGATGGAGGCGACCAGGTCCGGGATCATGTTCAGGCGCCAAAGATAGGAGAGAAAATGGCCAATGGGCAGGTTTGAGAATTCGCCATCCATGATCATGTCTAGCTGTAAATATATGATCGCCCTCAATGACGCGCTGAGGCTGGAGAACGGACCAATTGGCGTTCGAGAGTCGCGGAATAAAGGCAACATCGCGTATCCGCCGATCTGCACAACTCCGTCGTCAGACGGGACGATGGACCCGGTCATTTCAAAATCATGACGTTCTAGCTCCAAGGAGATATCAGCCAGCTGCTCAAGGATCTTTGTCTGAGTGGTCTTGTTCGCCTTGTCCCATTGTAGTTTTCGGCCGCCCATCTTCTCGAGAAGAACGAAGGACACGCCGACAGGGTTGTCTGTTGCATCGATCCAGCCATAATGGTAGACACGCGGTGCGGGGACGGCGGTCTTTTCGAGGAATTTCAGCGTGAACATTTCGCTCAAGAAGATGTGTTTTTGCACGGGAAGGGGTGGAAGCGCATCATTCGGCAGCCGTATACGCGCATCCCACACTACACCATCCCGAAAATTAATGTCAAAATGGAAATCCATGTCGACTATGTGCTGGACCAGGAGTCTCAATACGGTCTCCTTGTCGGCCGCGAGGGCGGGTATTGAGCAGGGGACACCGCCGCGGAGGGAGCTTGCCAATGAGGTCAAGGCATCGATATCAAGTTGATCCAGAGTCTTTGAGATGTGGACACGCTGGGAGGCCACACATTCTTCACGGTAGCCATCCGGATGGGCATCCTTCTCACAGCAAGAACAGAGTTAGTGGAAGAAGGCTTCTCGATCATCTGGAAAAACGAAACAAAACAAAAATAAAATAAAATAAAATAAAATAAAATAAAAATAAATAATTAAATTAAATTAAATTAAAAAAAAGCAAAATAAGAAAAATAAATAAATTAAAAAAAAAAAAAATTAAAAAAAAAAGGTTCAAAAGAGTTCAAAGAAACCCAACTCAAAGAATAGACCAGCCTTGCCTTGGAAAGACATTGATGAGAATCTGACTTGATATGGGCGCCACAATGATTCCTGGAACATATCGGACAGCCCCCATTTCGGCGGGCAGCGGACTGGGAGCAGCCGTGCACGTCGCAACGTCTTAAAGGCATAGTCCAGCTGCAGTGAGCTACATATATGGGCTCTGCATAGGATTTGGGGCGACAGGGTATGTCGAGATTCAGACGGAGGCCAAGTCAGTGGAGGTCACAATAACATGGGTGTGCGAGGAGGATTCAAAGGTGTGTCTTGTAGGAGCAGCAGATGCTGCAATGTACATGAAGATATTGTTTTTTTTCTGAGTCTGCTCAGATTAATGTAACAAAATACTCTAAGGCACGGGGCGATTTTTGGGTGCTGGGTTGTGGTGAAGACGATGGGATTGCCTTTGAAACCGTCGAAAACGGACGTGAGAACAGGAAGCAAAAAGGAGATCAATGAGCCCCGAACGAGAGAGGTGGTGACAAAATATTTAAACGAACGAGGAAACCAGCAGCAGACAGCGAACAAGCAGAGCGCAACAATACTTAAAGCAGCGGGAAATGTTCAGCAATCCATTTTGCAGCCGACAAGCAACTGAGCTAACTATTTGGCTCCTCTATGATTGCAGGCTGCAACAGGCGGTATGCAGCCCCGCTGCAGAAGCCCCAAGAGAACACTCTGCGGCGTCTGTCTGGTTGGCGCCAGGCGGGCGGATAGTTATCTTGGACATCCGACTCAATAAGAAAGAAAAGGAAAAAGGAAAAAGGAGAAGAAAAAAAAAAATTACGTTATTTTGGAGCAAAATAGTCTACATCTGCCTTGAGCTAGTCACTTTGGCGCCATGTCTTAATCCTGTATGCAGCCAACGAACGCCCTTCTCTCCAGAGAGATGCACCCACACTTGCCGTTGACGGTAACTACTGGAGCGGGGAACGGAGCAGGATATCATCCACTAGCAGCGTCTTACCCTCTTCATAACGACCTCTTCATCCCAACTTCATGGCGTGATTGGTGATTCGCCACTGCTCGACAAGGAGAGACACACGCTCGCCAATCACGGACTCTCCGCAGCAATTCTGAAAAGGCCTGGCTGGTCATGGGAAGCAGTCCCGAATGAACAATCGATTATCCTGGGCTGAGATCGTCGGAGCAAGAGAGAACGGATTCGGTTCTTCTCGTCAATTATTCATTTGTATGATTTCTGTGCTTGGGAGACATCAGCCGCACCCTCCTTCAAGCTTGGATAGACCGGGACAATCAACCACATACATAGCTGATAGGGATGGGAAGACCCAGGAGAATACTCAGACGGGTATCAGATCTCCGTGCACCAATGTATTCTGAATATTAGGTTGGTCGTGTTTCTTTTGTTCGTTTTTTCTTCTTCCTGAAGCCTTTCTCCTCCGCTGACACGTTGTGACACTATTATAGTTATGTTACAATTCCTCTATATACCGTCTACTCCGTATTATCCCGCAATTGCACACGACGTAGTTAATTGCAGCTCATCAACGTTCCCATTATCTTATTAGACTGGATGAGGACCGGGAGGAGATGTGTTTTGACTGAAAATCTATGCCAAATAGAGCACGTACGGGGAGAACCAAATCGATGGTCTCAAGCACTGCTGCTCAGAAGAGCTATGCGTTACATAAATATTTACCTATCCCTGAGGCATTTACAAAGTATAAGTTTCAAACAATCTCATGTCCGCAAAGTGTTTTCTGGAAAGAAAAGACGGAGGGATCAAAAAAGAGGATATTTTAGGACCAGACGAGAAAAAGGAATATCTATCAGGTGATGTTCAATCAGACATTCGATAACATCGCTGTCATACCCCAAGGAACGACACTCGAATCAGATATATATATATAGCTTTTCATTCTAAAACATACCGAGGGAAGCTGGCAGCCTGGCCATCTTGAAAATGGGAGCGGATATATGTGACAGAAAAGAGAAAGGGAAAAAAAACCTGCATTAAGAACATTTCTCCAGTGGAACACCATGATTAATATTTCTAAGTTATGAATTGCAGCAGAATTCCCCAAATTCAAGCTTCGAAGATTTGTAAAAATAAACATAGCTATCCGCTGCTAGCTCACAACGATTTCCCTTTCGTGGTTTAACAACACCACCCAGCAGCCGGACCCCAGCTACAGCCAATGATCGTATATATATATATATATATATATATAAAATACAGAAATTATGGCGGCTGCCAACTCATGCCTGCAGATAGGGACCTACAGTCAGCCCAGTCTCAACTGGCCCTCTTCCGGTCTCCTATTTAGGTACACCTTTCCACCCGTGGACGTTCCTTGAGCTGATCCAACCATCTACACTATGAGACCACTCATTAACTACGGGAAAGAAAGTTAGGAGCTAATAATACACACCATGCATGGACTAGAAGCCTTAATGGTGCAGACTTACGTCTTGACCACTAAGAATCTGCTTCTGTAGTTAAATAGACTGCTCTTCAAAAAAAAAAAAAAAAAAAAAAAAAAAACATGGAATATCGAAATATGCGAAAATGTCCCCATTTCAACTTACGCCAGACACGGGTTGTGGATATGGACCCGGAACCGAAACCGGATGGTTGATCTAACATCAATAATAGTACTATATAATCAGGTACACGGGATTTTGGAGGATTAATTTGTGGTAATATTGAAGTTAAATTCTGTTTAACTTTCGTACCTTTTCTCAGGAACAATGGTTCATCGCTACCCTCTTTTTTTGCCGCTGTTATATTCTGTAAGAGAGTAATTCGAACTGCTTTTGCAATTTATTTAATTCGGACAAATATTCAAGCCATACCCGTAAATCGTACATACACACGACACATGCCCCATTGCATCTAACAAAGAAAGGCCGAAATAGAAGAGTCGAATATCTGCTCGTAATTGAGCACGGAAGAACCTAGGTAGACAAAGGGGGGTATAATAAATTGGAATTGCGGATTGCCATTACCCGTTGTAAATCATTGCGAGAAACAAGTTTGGGAAACATATCTGAGGGCAGGGCAGTGGAATTAATAATAATAGACGAGTGAGATGGGAATGGAATGGAATGACAGGGTAAAACAAGAGAAGGAAATGTCAATAACTTCGAAAAAGGATAAGTAAGAGGAGGTTCTGAGAATCCCAAAGTATGAAACTATGCCACGCCAGAAAGAAAAAAAAAAAAAAAAAAAAAAAAAAAAAAAAAAAAAAAAAAAAAAAAAAAAAAAAAAAGAAAAAGAAAAAGAAAGAAAAAAAGAAAAAAGAAAAAGTCCATGATTATGCTTTTCATTTCATCTTAGATCATTCAGTCATCAAACCATCAAAAAGGGGCATTTTGCTTTCTCCATTCTAAAAAATATAAAAAATGAAAAATAAAAAAAACGAGGAAGATGGCACCAAAGACATGCGAGAAAAATTCAAAGAGCAAGATACTCAACCGCAACAGCAGAAAGAGGAGATGGAGAGAAAAGCAAAAGAAAAGAAGAAGAAGAAACACGAAAAAAGCTCGTGCTTGACCCATCATATCTAGCTACCCATGCATGTATGCAATAATCCGGGACGCTGACGCACACTCATGCCCATCCACCTCCACAGATTCCCCAATAAAACAACCTTAATGCCTCTTCCCCGTACGGTGATCACTTGTAATCACGTTACCGTCATCTTCCTCCTCCGCCTCTTCAACAACAACAGGTGTCCTCCTCTCATTCCGCCTCTTAGGCCTCCGCCTCCGACTCGAACTGATATTGCTCGCCGAATCCGACGGCAAAATCTCAGAAATGCTATCATCGATCCCATCATCCGTCGAGCTCTCCCACCCATTATTGTTTAGCCCGTAAGCCGACATTCCAACCGCAGGCGTACCAGAGAGCACCTCAACGGCTCCCGAACCCCCGCGACGTGCAAGGTTGGCAACCTGCAGACCCGCGCCACGTTCGCGCAAAGCACTGCGGACCGCTTCCGCCTTGACATGTAGGATCTCAAAGGCATCTTCAAGCGCTTCCATGCCGAGATATATATCCCGTTCAATTTCAGCGAGGGCAGCAATTTCTGTGTCCTCGTCGACAAAAATGGGGGCGCCAACAGTCGCGTGGGTCGGCGTAGAGGTGCGGGAAGGGATAGATGAACCGCCAATTGGCTGGCTTACGTTTCGAAGTCTGGTGTGGGACATTTGGGATATGGGCCTTGCGGAGCCGGGTCGCGAAGCCCTTACGGGAGGGGCAGAGTATGTTTGGGGGAGGTCGTCGTCGGCACCGCTGCGAAGGAATCCGTCGAAGCGGCCAGAAGTGAGAATATCCCATTCGTCGTTGCTAATTGCTGCTAGTGTAGCGAGGACGTGGTGCACTTCAGGGTTGTTTAATAAGTAGATGGCTGTTTCTGGGTCTCGTGGGGGTTTTGCTAGTCTGTATAACCGTTGGATGGCAGCACCGGACTGAATTATAGCCTGTGGTCGATCTCTTGGTTTGGGGGTTTCTCGTTTTGGTTCTGGAGGACCATTTGGAATCTCTAATAACGCACTAAAGGTTTCTCTCTGTTCTCCGTCAAGGTAGGTTAACATGGCGAACATCAGGGTCTCGTCATCAATTTCATCAGGAGGACTATCGGTTTGGTCGTTGCTGCAAGTAAGCCATTTATTCACAGCCTGCTTCGTTTTTCGAGATTGTCGAACGTAATGTTCTCTAAACTCTTCGGGTATGTCCACGTCCATTTTCTGCATGGGTTCCAGACCATCAGAACCTGGGAGGTCTGCTGTACCTGGTTTGGAAGCAATGTTAAATGGAGGCCACGATGGCAGATCCTGTCGACCAGAAACAAGTTCCAAAACCTCTCCCCAGCTCACTCCCTCTTCTGAAGCTTCGCTGGTATAACACATTGCACACTGGCATGATTCTGATGAAATGTCCCGCGCGAAGACAGCTTCTAACCTGTCTAAAAGCCTCCTCGCAACTGATCGATACCCGGTGGCCACGGCTAGGGATCCGTGTTTTGATATCACTTGGCGATAATCGTCTAGTAACTTATTGAACGGCTCAAAAAGTTTTGTCGCAGCTATCGATGGCTGGAATATATTCTGAGGCATGTTTGCAGATTCGCCTGCTCCAAAGAAACTCTTGGGAACATGGTATTTAAGCCCGCCATTATGGAGCAAATAGTCTACTTTGGGAATCGTAATTGGCACATAGGGAGGTGGGGGCGGAGGTGGAGGCAATCCAGTCCCCCGAGATTGAGCCTCTGAAGGCGGACTTTGTTTCCACGGGGAATATCCTCTCGGAGGAGGTGTTCTGCGAGGCTCAGGTGGAGTTCTTGTCTTAATTGAAGGGCGCTGATAAACCTTTGGCTGGTTGGGTGCGATGGATGTTGCATCCGAGTCGACTGCGGAAGATGAAACTTGGATTTCAACTTGAGTTTCTGATGAATGATCTGGCGATGAAGACTTTGTTTTTCGACGGGATGATTGCTTGACTGAGTCACTCCTTCCTGATGGCTTTGATTTGGTCGGAGAGGTATTGGTTTGGGACTTATGTGGATAATGGAGGGATTCAAACAATTTCATGCCTGGTGTGCTTGGGCCTGGTCCTCTGCTGCTCGTCTTCGAACCATCATCTGACTTGCGGCGCATACTAGACGCAGATTCCTTCACGGTAGTTTTGGGTTTATGCTTCTTCTTTTCATCCTGGCCTTTCATGGTATTCCGTTTCTCTTCCGGTTTCTTACTCTCGCTTGTTGTACTATTCCTCCTTGTAGAATGTTGATCAAGGTTTGTTAACGGAGGACTTGGTGGGGAACGGTTGGTGCTATGCCGTTTCGATGCGGCCTCTTGTCCCGTAGGACTACTGCCATCAGCCTTTACCTTGCCATTTTCTTCATCTCCTATGGTTATATCTGTGGGTTCTGGTGTCAAGATATCCACTTTTTGTTGGCCCAAATTTTCCCGACTTCCCACTACTTCCTTGCTATGTGCTTTGGAGAAAGATGGATACGGTAAACTGGACCTTGACTCCAGGAAGGAAGAAGAGGATGGGCGGGAGTTCGACTCGGCGGAGGGCATGGATGGATTCGGTGCGCTGACCCTCGAGTCACCACCAGTGACAGCTCTTCTTCGTTCCCTATCTCTAGATGTGGGGTCGCTTGGCCTTGTTCTGTGGAATAACCGTGGCGACTGTTTCTCATATCGAATGTCAGAATGTCTAGACCCTTCGTTTTCACCAGCTTCTCCTTCAAATAACGAAGTAGGTGAGCGATATCGAGGTCGTCGTTCTCTGTCTCTCTCTCTCTCGCTTCTGTGTGGGCGATCCCGCTCCCGTTCCTTCAAGGGCATGACGCACGCCGGGGTGCCAACAGGCATGGTTTCCGACGTAAGTTACGGACTTCGGTGTGGCGAGTAGTCCACTTCTGGAAGTTCTCTTGCCTAAGAGACGGATGTCAGCCACTAGGAGCGTATGGCGTCGGCATTCGACCTGAAAATGCTTGGTGCTTGTGGCTTCGATTTAAACCTGGTTTGGTTTAACGTGAGGGTCAGGGATTCTGTGGACAATCGCTACGGAGTACGTGGTTGGTCGATTCCCCACAAAATGCTGCCCAGCGTCACCAAACTCCTTCTATCACTTTTGACTGAGCCAGTTAGGCTGCGAGAAGCGTGAATCCTAAACAGCTGAATGGTCGATACACGCAGGCTACAGAAGCCACAAATAAAATGTTGTGTTGCGCGGAACACTTGGAACACAACTCTTACCACTGGCCTAAAGCGTGGTTAATCGGCTTTGTTTTCTGTGGCGCATAGTTAGGGGTGCCAGCCGAGAGTAAGTCTTAGAAAGCGTGTTGGGGCTTTGAAATGTTGATCTCGTTGATCCTGGAAGCATATGCTGCGTAGTTAACAGTTACAGCTTATGATTTGTGCTGTTGATGAGTCCCTCAGATGCTGTGGTTGCAAATTACCGGATTCGGCCATCACCATAACAACTCGAGTAAAATTTGCTTATAAAGAGTTGGGAGAAACTTTCACTGGAAAAAAAAAAGATGAGATGTTAAAACTGTTCTCTCTTCTGCTGGTTCATGAGCACGTTGTGAGAAGATGTGTATAGTTAAATATATATATGCACTAGATACTCTCCAGCTATCAGTCAGATCCCAAAGTATTCATGTTTATACATATATCAAAAATATATCGTAGAGGTCATTTACCCTGAACTGTCTTTTCAAAATATGCTGATGTTTCCACCGTCAGAGTTTCAAGAAGCCATCTCCCATTCGTTTCAACAGCAATCCCCCCCTTCAGCGCCGCAAGCCGGAGCTTCCTGCTTGCCCTCCTTCTGTTGCCTGTTTCCTTCTCCCATTCCCATCCCTCCTTTAGCCACATCCAAGCTACATACGCCCGCAGCTCTTTGTCCTTGGGGACAACTGATTTCCATTCGGGCACGAATTCACCAGATGCCTCTGTGCCCTTCCAATCACTCGCAAGGCCTCTCAGCTCATCCCGACAAAAAATTCGCCAGCTATCAAGGGCATAGGAGCCCAAACCTGGGATATGGGCAATTTCCCAGGCAACTCGAGAATCACCATCGTCCACACATTCCCCGGGTTTTATATCTAGTCCATCCCCTTTGTTGGGATAATGTAATTTTCTGTACCTTTTCCCTTTGACCGGGGGATTTTCGATCCAGAGCTTCGCGAGATTAATACATTTTCGGGCACGGGCGTTCTGCAAACCCAGACAGCGTATCATTGTAACCACATCTTCCTCCTGTGCCTCTGCAAGGGCAGATACAGTAGGATACCTCTCAAAAACACTGTATAGCACAGGAATGGCAACTTCACCGCGAGTCCGGTTGAGGAAAATGGTCGCGATCAGCAGGCGGAATGGGTCATAGGCCAGTTTCTCTTGGATCAAGCCGAAGGATGTGGCTGATATTGGAGGGAATGGGAGACAGGAGGCGCCGCTGCGGGGTTTCTGGGGAAAATAGGGCGATATCTTGGGCTGTCTGGCCATCAACTGTGTGGTTGCTCTCCAGGCTCTGAATTCTTGTGGAGATGGATCTGGGGGGTGATGCTGACTCAGATATGCGAGAAGCACCGGAGCTATATCACGTGGACTCAAATCTTCCCCGCCGTCTCCAGGATTCGTCTCCGCATCAATAATGCGACGTAAACATTCTCTCAACTTCAGCTTCTTTCACACCGCAAAAATCTCGGAAAGATATTTCTGGGCTTTCAGAGGGCACGGCAGTCTATATGTGTATAAATGATCCATCCACGACCCTCGCAGCCTACGGTGCCAGATTTCCATTTTCTTTTAAGAGCTTTATATTGTTTAGCTTTCAAAGGGTTCTGAGGTACCATGGCTCGCTCTTTGGGTCCGCCGTTCATGAACAGCCGGACGGCATGTTCCATGGGAATCCCCGAGTCAATTATGCTCCAAACCTAATCTGGACCAAGCGGAATACACATAACCGTTCTAATGAATGCCACCGTTCGATTCGCTTATCTTACCCGCATTGCCTCCGTATTAGCACACTGTTTAAGAGACCACATGAGCCACAGACCAAAATCATATTATGCAGACCAGGAATGAGGCAACCAATGACATTAGACATCTAGTGATGAGCATGCAAGGCCCAAAAATAAAGATGTTGGTTTTAGTTGACTGGTGGGAGAGAACATCGGCGAAAAATCATCTTTGCACTGAGTAATTCTCACCTGACTTAGTTTTTCTAATGAACAAGACCAGGGTCTGCTCCTACATCCAGACAGAGAAAAAGGGTGAAACGAGAATAAAAGCCGAACTTTCTTTAAGAAAGAGACACAGGAAGAATTAGTATGACCCACAAACAAGTGGTTCTGATGAAGCTGCTGGATTCGGGGAGTTTTTCTATTGGAGCACTAATACACTGGGCGCGCCAAAACATTTGCTTGTAAACGCTTGCAAACACCAAGAGTGAAATGGGCTTCCTTGACTGACAAACTATTTCGTCATGGCTGTTCTACGAAGGCACCATCTACGCATCTGTCTTAAGGTCCATGTGGCAGACTTATCAAACATGCAGATATATTTGCGCTACCTTTATGATTAATTGGACAGGAGAAACAGGGATTACTATTTAGATGGCCCGGCAGTGACATCTACTCCTTGAGGCATCACCAATTCAACACAATGGTTTAATAGTTTTATTCGAGACAAGTGTATCAAATCTGTTTAACAGAAGCTCCTTCTCCCGTATATGACTACTTCTTCCTTGGCTTTTTGAATTGCCCAGGTGGCTGCTAATCGCCTGAGTGAAAAAGTTGGATGGGTGATATCTGGCCGAACCGATGAAGCTTGATTGGCAGTTGTTATCCTTAAAAGGATTCAGCATTTGACTGCTGAGAGAACTGATTTTGTATGCCGTCCATTTCTGTTTGCCACCTTGTTCTGTGAAGTCAAATACCAAACACCTCTCAGCTTCAAATTCAGTAAGGAGAGGTGATATGACAAAGAGTAAGAAAGTGAATGAATGCGATATATATCCGTATATTTATGTATATTTGCATTACAAAGGCTCCCGTATTTCATCAGCAGAACTTGCCATACAGTACTCTCTATGATAACTCGAATGGGTGAAATTGTTTTTGTGCGGCACAAGTCTTCTAGTTACTGATTAGTGCCAGTCCTCACTAGTTATTAGTTATTAATCTATCAAAATGTGGCTGAGGTCATTCGCCGACTGGATTAAACAAGATGAAATAATGACCATTGCAAGCTGGTATTGAATGGATGGGAAAGAGTTGATGTCTCACTGGAGAGGTGTTCACAAGTGCCGAAGCTCTGAAAAACCAGATTTTGTGTCTCCCAGACCGTCTTTGCTCTCTTGTCATTACACGGCCAGAGTTTTTTGAGGGTTAAAATGGGAGTAGGATCTGCAAACTGTACCAGAGATGAACTCGACACTGAGCTGGCAAAGGCTCTGCACGCGTTGAATGTGTTACAATGACATCAGCTGCGCATCCCTTGGCTGCGATTTATTGGTTTCATATATGCTCTCTTAGAACCAAATCCCATTGCGTATAGATCCCGAGAAACCAGCTTGGGAAAATATTTGAAACCACGGCCTGTGAGACTTCTTTCTGGTTACGTGATAGTAGTGGTTAGTCGAGAGAGCAATGTTGCGGTGAAACTTCATGCTTCAGTCATTCCAAATGGATAGCTTTGGAGGGAAATGTAATCAAATTTTTACGATGCAATTGGTTCAAGAGAGAAGATGAAAGATAACCACGGTATTTCACCTAAACCTTAATATATGTGCAGGACATATATATATTTTTAAATGAGAATCCGATTGAGATAAGAGGGAGCTTGAGGGTTCTGTAGAGCACTGCGGTGGGAACTTAGCTAAACCCGGCCGGCCAAACATTGTACCTAGGTAACTAGTGTTCGATGGCTGACCGAACTTCGGAGTATTAGCATGGCCATTCAGGAGCATGGAAAGAAGAATGACAATGAGCAGAGAAAATAATTATAGCTTACATGCGCAGAAGATGCATTTCTCTAGCTCTGTCCATGTACGGGCAAGCCATTATCACATAGATGGCAGAATGAACCGGACGGTGAGAACATGAAATCATATTCTCACCGTATCTTCCAATCACCATAAGGAGTGAACCAGCTGCTCTCCTGACGACCAACTAATAATAGGAATACTCAAGCCTGCGTGCTGCACCGTCAACCTGCGACATGGACTTGGGGACAAATCACCCATGGGCTAGATACTCCGCAATCACCATAGACTGGGGATTAGGCAGTGTCTTTTACCTTCTTCTGGATGGTCAGGATCAAGGTTGATAAGATCATCCAGCCACAATACGAACGGCGGCTGCAAGCTTCTCCGACCCTGCGCGAATCATGATACCAAAAGCATCCATGGAGAGCTCTCGGACCCTTCATCACCCCTTAAACTCTAGAAACTTCTCATCACGCGTGTCAAGTAGGAGACAGCGTCAGGCAAGTCGCTCACCGCTTATTCCGTTGGGCACCACTGTTTTCGGCTCAGCTTTGGTTCTTTGTCACAGAGCGCAAAGGCATTAAATTGTACTATAGCGAATGTGGACCGGTTCTCCTATTTACTACCAACTTATAGCCCTGTTTTCACGGGGAAAACACCAAATGACATAATTTCGATGAGATCGAAAAGGAAATGGACTGAAGTTAATGAGAAAGGAAAGACAAAACTGGAGGTAGAGTAACCATTCAACTGGACAGAATCTCACAGCACGCCTTCATAACAATATCTCTTCATATCCAGCTGTCTTTCAGCTAACTTTTGTCTTCGATACAAAAACTCGGACACCCTTGGTGTCAAGTTTGGCACGGGGAACAAAGAAGTCATGTTGCAACTCCACGTCGCTGACATCTGTCTCATAAAGTTTAAAGTCAAACTGACGGAAAACAATTCCCATGGTACAGTACAATTCTGCCCAGGCAAGACTACAAATGTGTAAATTGCCCATGTCTTGTTAGACTACGTTCTTAATTTTCAACAACAGCACCAGGTATGCTGGAAAAAACTGGGGATCCAAGATAACAACTTACTTTATTCCTAAACACGACCTTGATCCTCGCCCAAATGCAACAAGATATCGCTCAAGTGGTGTCCCATCTGGCGCCAGAGGATCATCTAGCCATCTTTCGGGAATAAAAGAATGCGAGTCTGGAAAAATTTTTCCATCGTGGTGGACATCGACGATTGTCATTGCAACCGTTGTTCGTGCTGGAATCGTCCACTTCCCATATTGCAGGGGCTGGTCCTGAGTCCTGGGATTGCGAGCCGAGAGGCCGTATGAGAGCCGAAGAGACTCCTGGATGCACGCCTTAAGGTAGGGTAATTTCTCGAACTCTAACAGTGTTGGAGGAACGTTGATATCCGGGAATGCCTGCACGAGTTCGGAGCGAAGCCTCTGGGAAATGTGGGGAGTGTTGGCGATATGAAATGTAGCCACTGTAAGGGCGTGTGCGGGAGACTCGATGCCACCACCCATTACGCTTTGTGCTTCACCAGCAAGACGATAATGCGACTTTTCCTGTGGCGGAAGGTCACTCTGCAGGATTTCTTGGAAGATAGTGGGGCGTGATAAGTTTTTCTCCAAAGGTTCTTCTCCCCGAACGATACGCCCAGTCAAATCCAATAGATCCTGCGAATGTAATTATCAGCATTTTATGATAGAGTCGATAGCTACCGGGAAGTTCACCTTCTTCAACTGCAATAAGTTTGCCAGAGCAGGTTGCATCCGCTCTACCCATCGATCTGGCAACGCATTTATTAACTGCCTTTAAATTAGCACTTGAGAACCGAATATTATGAGATCTGAACTTACTGGAAGGAACCAGGGAAACTGAGATGTGACGTGGCCAGACGCTCCCATGGACTGAAATGCTCCATGGAAAGAGTCAAACTTGGGGGAATCAAGCTGGTTATAGCAGAACCCGAGCGCATATTGCATAACAACATCACCGCTAAGACAGGGATAGACGTCAGAGATCACCAAGGGTTGGGAGCTCTCCACGAACTCCGAGATTCTTTCACAGAGCCGCTCCACACACTGACGTATTACAGGTTCAAAGTTTAAGGCCATTCGCCTTGAAAACCTATGTGTAGGAATGCGTCAGGGAATCATTCCAGAAGACATGAAAGGCAATTAATAAACACCAACATTCGGCTAAGAGCCCCCCTTCTCTCGCGATGAAGAGTATGCTCAGGGGTGGTGAAAGTCACATCTTTCATCCCAAATTTATTTTCCCACCCAGGCTTGTCCAACCTTGTATTCTGCCCATAAGCCTTCTCGAAAAAGCTGCTGTCCCTGATATGGATCTCGTCTGGTGCTACTCGGATGATTGGACCTATATGAAAATTATCGGCTTTTGACCTTCAGGAGAGGGATTATCACAAAGGGCATATACCATATTTATCGTGCAACTCATCGATTTTGCGAGAAAATTGACCCAGAAGGACGATCTCGTAGTATGCCTCATACCATCTGGTGAGTGCTGCGAGTTTTGGACCTGGAAAACCAGCAAGCGGACTGATATACAGCCGGTAGATAGCAAGATAGGCAAGATATATCAGCCAGGCTCCAAACGCAGCAGCAAACGTTTCAGGGGCCTTGGGGACGGTTATCTGGAATGCTCCCTCCGCCATCATTACTTGTCCATGAGTTGGAACCTGGAGAGGCATCGCGAGAGGGACTCGCAGATACGGCAGCTTTATGTTGCAGGCACATGTTCTACGTTCGCTAAGTTGGAACAATACTGACGAGTTAGAGGATGATGGATTCTCGAACTAGTTACCCCAAGGCTCGGCTGGACAATGGACCCCGGCAAGGATTGAAATGCATCTGGAGTTCTGTACTAGTTTAAGTATCTCCAAGTGCCCAATGCTAGTGTCTCCACAGCGGACCGAACCCGTGCGACCCATACGACCCATACGCGACCCATGCACCAATTTGCTTCCTTCGGGTCCTAGTGCACAATAGGGTTTCCATTGCACGCCTGGATAATGACCTTGGGAAAACAATAATCAACTAAATTGTTGGTCGCATTGAAACTACGGTTAGTGTGTCCGCTAGTTGGGCCGGGATGGGACCCCCCTTGCCGGAGATAAATTCCCTGGCTCCCCCTTGCTTCTCCGCCCCGGTGTCTCTAAAGATGTGTTCGGCATATTAGAAGACTTTTCAACACCCTGGCAAACGGTTCACACAACAACGTTACCGACTCATGATTAACACAGGTACAAAAAAGAGCCGATGACCTATCCTCAATACCTTACCCAACGCCGAAACTCAACTCTCGGATATGAATTTTGATGACAATAAAGCAAATTCGACCTTGGGTAACGAGTCAAACAACTTCGCATAAAGAACTTCACTTTCTACGCCGATTCTAAATTACGACTATGCCTACGGCCGCAGATGCACCAGCTACAGAAGAGGGGCGTATCTCCTCCCCAATGACGAAACGGAGCAAGATCGCCTCGATTCGCTCCACTACGTATTCCCTTTTATACTCGATGGGAAACTCCTCCACACACCCATTGACCCAACCCACAACGGGCATTGGATCTCGGGAGCGCACAGTCTATGGGCTCTAGATTTTTTAGATGAGTATCCTTCCGCCCACATTGTCGGGGTAGATCTCAGCTCCATTCAGCCCGGTCGGGTGCCGCCCAATGTTAAGTTTTTACCTTGACGACATTGAATGGACTGGAAGTATGGGAAGAATGGTCCAGATGAAACTTTTGATGTTATTCATGCACGTCAGATCGGAGGCAGCGTCAGGAACTGGAAGAACTTGCTCTCGCAATGTTTAAAGCACACGAAACCAGGCGGTTTGCTTGAAATCCAGGAGCCGGGGGCATGGATGAGGTCTGAAGATGATACGATGAGCAAAGAGACGGTATGTTCTCAGTTTAACGTCCTGTGCAGTGAAGCCGCGAAGAAGTTCGTAAAAAAGATGAAATATGGCAGATTAGTTAAAGGGCCTGCTTATTGACGCTGGGTTTGTGGATGTGCATGAGGAGGCTATTAAGGTATGACAAACGCAGCGGGTATCCCTGAGCATTAATTCGGTGGCCTTTTATCATTTTATAATTTCCCCTTCTGTCCATTCACATATTATACTTCTATTTCCTAAATTACGACTTCGCATCGCCCATTTATATTCATATAGCTATCCGTACACAAGTATTGTGCATAAGCATACTGTACGCAAGGCACACGGAGGAAATGTTTCTGGCTCACTAACAGAGCCAATAGCAACCGACATGTGTACACTGAACCGCCGTTGCCATAGGCCGAACCCCTCCCCGCCCAGTTCCCACTCTGCGTTGCAAAACAAACCGGATCTGAATTGTGTGAAATGTGCATCGAACGACGCGATTCCTGCGCAAATTCCCTGCCAACGATACAGAATGCATGTGTGATGTTACCCACGCAGCCTAATCTTGTTCCCAACGTCATGCAGGGCGTGCATGGGACGAGAAAATGGGTATTGTCCTGTTGTTAATGCCTCGCCTTATCTGCGTATGTTGCGCATTGAAGAGAATAAGGATAGATCCAGCAGAATCAACTGGGATGAAATGCTTAACTGGTTATGAGGGCGGGGGGCAATTGTCGGTGAGTTTATATGGATTCTTCAATGTGACTCTTATCGCCATTCCATTGTTTGACGATTTGTGGTCGTTGAACGAGACAACCGACAAGCAGCCTATCTAATAAATTCCCAGAAAGGCCTCGTACCACATGCAGATAAACCATAAACCCAAGGTTCTAACGAGAAGATTCCCAGACCACCATGTCTTCCAACAACCCCTTTCTCTTGGGTGTTTTGGAGGGTACATTCCATGTTTCAGGCAGCTCGTTGTTCAACTCGCGATATAAATGCCTTTTGAGATGGAAAAAAAGAGCATAAGGGCTGAGGAATTTTGCTGTTCGGGTCAGTTCACATCGAATCATTTGGCCATTTCGGCTGGTCAGGGGGATTAGCGTACATTATCGATGTGTATTATTATCTTCCGCGTCATGCCAGTCCTCTCCTGTATCCTGACTGTCATACGAATCTTCGTCTCCATCACCGCCGGGCTCGATGCAATTGGACCTTACGCAGCGGACCATGATCAGCACAAAACTTAAATCACCCAATTTTCTTCAAGAACTCCCTTTCCGCGAAAATCCACACCTCCAACAACAACATCATCAACAACAACATCCCTCTTTTAATTTTTCTCTTCCCTTTTCTCCCTCTCCCATCCTCCCTGAAATGAACACAGACCCACGCACGGCCTAAACTTACCAATATGGAAGCCGCCTCCTAACACACCGCGACGGAATGTGATGAACAAAGAGATACACATTCCCGACATCATCCAGATGAATCCACTCAGGTACCGGATAATTCAACCACTCCAACGCCTCGGGAACAAAAATAAACACAATCGGCCCGTACTCGCGCATATCACTCCCCGTGATCGCGATGTGATAGACAGCCACATTTTGGATACCCCGCTCAGCCCTGCGGCGCGCTTCGTGGTCTGCCGATGCCCAGTCTGCAAAGACTGATATGAACGGCGAGGGTTCGAAGGGCGGTATGTCTGGAGGCTGTGGACGGCGCCCGTGCAGATGGCCTAGGATTTGGTATTGGAGGACCATGTATTCGTGGTTGGAGGCTAGGGCGAGTGGGACTTCTTCTTTGGACGCGGCATGTATGCCCTGCCCTGAGATGTATTTAGCTCTGGACCTTTCGTCCTCGACGCGGTAACCGTTGAAGACGAGGCGTTCGTTTAAGTCTAGGGGTTGGGGGCTGGGAGGGAGTGACACTAAGGGTTCCATTGTTTTTGTTTCTTCGTCTTTTTTTGATTTATTATTGGTATTATGTTGTTGTTGTTGATGTTGTTGATTGAAAGCTGCAGCAGTGAAGGTTGGGGAAACTGGCTTCACTTGACATTATGTATTTGTTTGTGCACAGGTTCTGGTTGTGATAAAAAGAGTCGGTTATACGCAATGCATCACGGTGAGTATTGGATAGTTAATAATTTAATAATAAGGTTGTCTTTGTTTTGGGGCCGGGGAGGTGTGAAGGTTCGATCTATCGCTGTGTATCCGCTGGGAAGGAGAGAGAGCCATGTTGCGCTATCTCTCTCTCCGCGTTGATCTCCCCCCTTTGTTTTTGATTTTTGCTTTTCACCTTTAAATCGCCAAAGTGTTGGACAGTCCCAAGCAGAGATCAAAAGATATTCTTGGATGTAGCCGGTGCTGCTATTTTAACCAGTATTCACTGCAGTTGACGCAATGATGCGTTTGCAGTTGGGTGGTGCAAGCCCTGATTCAGCCACATCTCAAGCAACCGTGTGCGACCTATCTATGATATTCTGACGAACCATGGAGAGGTTTAGTGAGAGGATACCTGGGTAATGGCATGGCAATGGTGATAATGACAAACGAGGAAAGCTTGTCAGAACAACTAGCTAACTGGTGTAAAGAACTCGAGGAACGAAGTACTTCTTCATGGATGATGTGCATATCTGCTAACCGTACCCTGTGCTTAAAATCATGTCTAGAGACGCGGAGTGCTAGGCCACCAACCCTTGGCCCCTCCATCTTCACCACCGTCACTATCATCAGTGTATCAGAATAATTACCGCAGGGGCCCATACAAGAAAACAAAACTTGGCCAGACCCGGAACACAAAGTAGTCATCCCCCCTTTCCATGTGATACTATCCCGCAGTTCTGGAGAAGGTTAGTTAAAGATAGAAACCATCCAAGGCCAAAGCGACAGCCAGAAGGGGGGGAGAAAAAGCCAGCCAGGCACACTCCCGCTTCCGTCTTCAGCCCTCCGAGTTGGAGAGTTAGTTATCCCTTTTACAGCCACAAGCGTTGAACAGAGTCGCCTCCCATCCAAGCCTCTCACACTGCTGAAATTTCAGTCAACCATCTCGCCCCGAGTTACCTTTCAACAGCCCTATAAAACCAGCCTGCCAAGCGTCCACATGGGAGAGAACATCCACCTACAGAGTTAGTCGTTTTAAGTCGCGCTCAGTCCCTTGAAATGTATGTACTAACATTATTACGGAAGATAATTTAGCCAGAGGACAGCTTGTGAGTTTCATTATTAGGCGCCCGGAAAAAACAAAAAGTAAAAATAAAAATAAAAAAAAAAAAAGGGGGGGGGGGAAAGATAACTACAGATGAGAACTAGCGTAGCCGGACCGTTTAAGACAGCTAAAAATTTGCGAACATGGACACGGCTCATATTTTAGTGCTTGGGGACAGGGCTGCTGGAGAGCAGGACGCGTCTGTAGAATCAGAAGAGGACATCTGATTCGATGCGCATGTGGCAGGTTCTATTTTTGCCTGTTCTGCCTTGGCCCGCTAGGTTAGTTGGAGAGTTGAGCAGTGTCTCCGTGGCCCATATCTGAGACGCAGTCGCTACGGGCAAATCAGCGTTCGTGCGCAAAAGGGGGAGTTGGTTTTAGTTTTGGAATAGGTGTTGTAGGAGAGTCGAAATCTCATACCCATTCTCCTTAATTAGATTTTAATTCTGGGGTGCTGTTGCGATGTATAAATAATAAGTAAAAATTCCACGAAGGTTAAGGGACTCCTTGATGCCAACCGGTCGATACTATGTATTACTTTTTCCTTGATAAACAACGGTGAGGAACTACTCCGTCCAGATTGCAATTGTTGCGGGGGAAGGGGAAATGGATTTGTGCCCACCCACAGCCACGAACATGCTTCATCCACCCCAGAAATTTTAAAAAAAAAAAAAAAAGAAAAAGAATGCGATGACCAAGAGGAAGTCCTCCTGGGGCGTGCTCCAGCCTCAAAAAGCCGTTATCAGCCACCCATGGCTGGCTGGGCTCATGTGGTGGATAAGCAGCTGCCTCTGGATACTTTGCGCCCAAAGCCCTTTTTTTTAACTTCCCCGTCTCCCATTCATCCCCCTCCCGGTTTGATAAACAAAATTTACCTTTTAGTTTTGTTTTTCTTTTGCTGAATGTTGCTCCTGCGCGAAGTCCGTGAAACGAGCAACTGCATATATTTGCACATCCTTCCGGCCTGGAAGATGACGGTTGCGTCTATACGACTGACAAGCCGCGGAATAATAAAAGTCCATGGAACTGGGATTCTAGTGATGGGATGGGGGATGCGGGAGACAGACAGACCCCCCAGCATCAATGCATGGCGCGTGTTGCAGAACTCGAAGCGAACATGGGGGGGGGGGGGGGGGGCCTTGTTTTAGATGGTCACGGTAGTCATAATGCGGAACTCTGTGCATCTGTCGCGTCAACAAATGGCAGCAGGGCAAAATCTCCCGGCACCAAGGGTGGAAGAAGATCCTTGGAAGTTGGACGACGCAAGAAGGGGTCATCTGCGTTGGCGACGTGATGGATCTCCTTTGATTAGTTCCCCCATTCTTTCTTCCCTTTTTTTGCCTGGTGTGCGTTGTTATTAGTTGAACAGCCGCTTCTTGCATGTGTATATCGCGTATTCCCCTCTAAGCCGGGGGGAGTTCAATCATGTAAACACGGAATATGCGGTCAGTCGCTGGGAGTATGGCGCAGGTAGTCATGTCCTTGTCCTGAGTCCTGCGTTGTGAGAATCCTCAGCCGCGGGAAGTTTGTAGCCCCATACCGCATCTTACCAAAATTACACAATTTTGCGGGTCGAGAAACAGCCTAGTGCAGCCAGATCCTGCAAGGCAATTGGCTGTGCTGGTGCCGTTTGCTCGTGCTCGTGTATCTGCACTGTTCATATGGAGTTGAAGGGTCGGGGGGTGTTGTGGGTGTGGTATATAACCTGTAATTGGGGGAGTGGGATCAATCCGTGTGTTGTGGATTGAAGACCAGGAAAAAGAAAACAACTGAACAAAATAGACAGAAGAAGAAGAAGAGGCAGAAGAGGCAGAACTTGAAGACACAGAAGAGAAGAAACCGGTATCATTTATTTATTTATTTATTAACCAACCAACTAACTATTCAAAGGATTTTACCTAGTTAATAAAGAATTAGAAGAAATATTATCAACTACACTTTCCAAATATACCTCTCTCCCTTTTCCCTCCTCCAGTCACCTACCTCCCTCCGCCTCACTTCTCTCTATTTACCCTCTCATCTCGCCTCACCAACCGCACTCCCGCCGCACCCTCTTCCACTTCGCATCCTCACTCCCCGCACTCCCCCTTGAGCTCCTCGGGCCTCTCGGGCATCGACACCTGTTCTCCAAGATCAGCCCCATCTGCTCTCCCGCCTAACCGTTCCCAGTCCAGTATCTGTCCTGCCGCTGCAAATCTGGTGTCCGTTTTCGTCCCCTACTACCCTAATACCCGCCCTGATCTTCCCGCGTCATCATGGTGTCGTTTCAATGCGAGGTGAGTTGTTCTTTTTTGCGTCTTCTTTGGCTATTTCAAAGAGAATTCGATTGACTTGCGGTTTACTCTTGCCCATTATTTCCCCTCTTGTCCCCTATTCTATTGTGGGGTGGCGTAAAGTATCGTGAAAAGCAAGAGAGAGAGAAGAAAACAAGAAAAAAAAAAAAAAAAAAAAAAAAAAAAAAAAAAAAAAAAAAAAAAAAAATAGAAAATGACTCCCTGCTAACTGAACCCGGCTTCACAGGCTTGCGGCGATGTCATCACCAAGAAGAAGACAGATCCTCACCGTAACCAATGTCATGGCGCTCGTTTCTCTTGTCTAGACTGCTCAGTCGAATTCCCCGGAACCTCATATAGAGCCCATACAGTAAGCCGCCATAATTTATTTTTTTAACTTCTTTTTATTGTATCAGCTTCTTGCGCCTATATTTGCTCTTCTATTGGACCATTTCTCGTCGCAATGCCATCTTGCCTCATATATCTGCCTCTACATTCACATCATTGTCGCCAATTCGACATGTATAGACCTTGATTAGGCTGTTTGATACTGTTGTTGTTGGTGCTGTATGTTCGCGCTTAAGCGTTAGTTGCATAATATTTTGTGCGCGCCGGCCAGCGAGACAGCGAGAATGCGACAAACAAATGATTCGTTTACGGATAAGGCAGAGGATCCTCTCATGTCTCCCTGTCTCCACGTATGACCGCGCTGATTTGGCAGACGGCGTCTATAGCCTGCATCTGCTGCGTGATAGTGCCTGCGAGTGCCATTGGGCAGCAATTAGCTCATGACATTCCATTCGCGGCATTCCACCCTGAAATCTTAGAAAATCTACAGACAGATAAAAGGACTGGTTCAATATTATTTCCCGCTAACTCTTTTCTGGTTCTTTGAATCGTTCTCTAGTCTTGTATATCCGAAGCCCAGAAATACCAGGGTGCCCTCTACAAGGAGAAGCCCAGCAAATTCAAGAAGACCAAGTCCGTGACCATTGTTGAAACCCCGACCTCCAAACCTGTTGGCCCCCGTGACCCCTGGGTAGAAGATGTTACAGATGTTGACGATATCAGACCTAAGAATAATAAATCTGTTCCTCCGCATGCCCCCAGTCCTCCGCCGGCTATCCCCCGCCCGGAATCCGGAAAGTATACCTCCGCTACAACCAAGTCCAGTGCCCACGTCAACGTCTTTGACTTCCTCGATCCGTCTGACACCCCAAATGCATCGACAGTTTCCCTTGGAGGATCGAAGGAGCCCATGGTTATGCTAAAGCACGCACCCCCGCTTTTCAACACGCCCAGAGAGCTTGCAAAGCTCTCTAAGGGAAAGGACGACGAAGTGATTTACGACTTGGCCTATGAAGAAAACGGTTTCTCCTATGGCGCGGATACCCTCGAGTCTCCAATATACCAAAACGGCGCCGCAATGGATTCCACATCATCTATTTATAACAACTTCACGACTCCTGCACCCAAGCGTAGAAGAGACCCACCCCGTCAAGAACGTGCCTCGTCCCCAGATCAAGCCACCACCAGTGGTGTAGCAGGCACGGGAGATAAGAAGCGCAAACGTGGCCACATTGAAGATATCAACCCCGAAATCGCCAACTCTGCGACATACGCTGATGATACTCCAATGCTTGACGCCCCACCTTCAACATCAAATGCTACTTCTAACCCCCTGACACCTTCCCTGAACCACTCAGGACTAACTGGCGGCCTAAACCGCATGATGAGAAATTACTCACCGACCCCAGACGCAGACTACAAAACCGATGATGGCGACAGCGACAAGGGACATCGACGCTACCCCCAAGATCCCGCATCGCCTCTCAAACGCACGCGCAGGGCTGACAAGGCAACTAGCAACAATGGTAGTACTAGCAATCATACCGGTAATGCCGGTGGTGGGAGTCACAATGACGGCGCCGGGGCCGGGATCGCCATCAAGGGTCGCGCGGGTCGCATCATGTCCTTTCTTGGCGGCGCGGGGATCAACGGCGTCACCGTCAATGGCTCCAGCAATGGCTCGGTCAGTCGTGCGTTGGTGCGCACCCGACGACGCTTATCGTCAGATGGCGCTACTCCTGCTGCTGCTGCTGCTGCTAGACGGCAAAAGAGACTCCATCACGTCGAGCAGCTGGATCGCTTGGCGAGGCGTCGCAATCTTCCTAGCAATAAAAATGGAGATGGATATGATGAGAATTTCCCGCGTCGTCTGAAGGCTATTGAGTATCGGATTGATAGCGGGTCGGAGAACCGGTCGCGGTCACCGAATGGGTTGCAGGAGGTTGGTAGGGAGGGTAATATTCTTCGGCTTGTTGGGGGGGAGAATCAGCTTGTTGTTTTCAAGGGGGAGGAGGAGGGTGAAGATAATAATAGTCATAATAATAATAGTAATATCAACAGCATTAATATTAGTGATGGAAATGGGGAGATGGCGAGGAGGGAGAAGGCTGGGGCGTTTTTGGCGCTTGTCAATAAGGGGCCGGAGTCGGAGAGGGGGTGGTCAATTCATAAGGCACTTAAGAGGTTCCATCGGGAGGTTGGAGGGGGGGAGGTTGAGGGCGGTGATAGGGATAGAGATGCGGGGAAGGATAGGGGGAGGGGGAGGGGAAGGGATAGCAGGGATCGGGAGAGGGAGAGGGAGAGGGAGAGGGAGAGGGAGAAGAGGATTGAGGAGGAAAGGGAGTTGTGGAGGGCTTTGAGGCTGAAGAGGAATGATAGGGGGGAGGTGGTTGTTTTCATTTAGATGGAGAGCTATTTATTGTCTTGTTGTCTGGGGATTTCGGATTTTGAGTTGTGCCTTTTATCACCATTTATGCATTTCATTGTGTCTTTTTTTTTCTCTCTCTTTCTTATTATTTATCCCGCCTCTTTTCTTTGCTTCTCTTCCTTTTCCTCCCTTTACTTTCTCTTCTCTCCACTTTTTCATCCTTTCTGCTTCTCGTTCTGATCGACTGGACTTTGACATGGATATACAAGACAATACGGCTTTCGGTTTACATATGGAATCAGTGAGCAGGCATTTCCTTTCCTCTCTAATTTATCTGTTTTTCGTATTTTTTTTTTTTTTTTTCACTTTTCTTTTTAATCCTTTTATAAAATCTCTGTGCTAGTTTTTGGCTATGATTTTGTTTATCTTTAACTGTTTTTATGCTGTGACATTTAGCCCTCTTCATTTTTGAATCTTGAAGAGTTCTCCTCAACCAGACTAATAAGAGAATATGGAAATGAGGTTGAATGGTATTCATCTACTATTTTCAAGGTTAAGACTGCTTCACCAGTTTTTCATCTAGAAACTTTCTAACTATATGCTCACATATCATCATCATATACTCATCTATATATATAACTGATGCACTAGGCCTGAATCAAGTTCTAATCGTTTAAGCGAAATGCAATAAAATTCAACGTCATGACACTGTATTTCATGACACAATAAGCATCATATAAGATCGTAGGTCGTCATGTACAATAATGAATAAAAAACAGGGTAACACACTAACAGAAGATATCTGTACTAATTTCAGAGAATCTGCTCAAAGCATGAGTGAGAAGATGAACACAGACTGTTCAAAAGTTGATTAGAGATTGACAAACATATGCCTCATTCTCCTGACTGAATTGCCTTCCCCTCTTCATTTGACATCACATGTTTGTCTGGAATCCCCTTTGCATTTCCAGTCTCATTCTCATTCTCATTCTTATCTTTTCCCTCACTCGCACCGTCACCATCTGCAACTTGACCACCTTTTTCCATCTCCCTCTCCTCCCTCTCAATCTCCTCCTCCCAATCATCCACAACATCCTCCACAAAACCCGCAGGGAATTTCCTCCAACCACCACCAACACCAGAGCTGGGGTAAGCAGCCTTTCCCCTCCCTCCAACCCCAACTCCACTCCTCAGAACTAACGTCCCGCTCCCCCTCCCACCAGCACTGACACCGCCAACGCCTCCAAATCCAAACTCAGATTCTGGCAATCCCGTATCCACCACGGGTCGTTTCCGCGACGCAAC